CCTGGTGCTCACCAGGTGCTGCTGGGCAGGGGGTGATCCCTACTGCCCTCCACTGCCCCACGCCACATGGGGAGTTTTCATGAGTCGTCTAGCACCCCCTTGCACTGCCCCAGCCCCACCAGGGCTGCCCCACCTGGCGTGGCTCTGGCCCTTTAAGGAAAAAAAAATTGAGAAAAGCCCTGGGACTCTCCGCTCCTGCAGCTGCCTTGGGGCTTCAGGGGACTCGTGCAGAGCTCCCCATGTGGCGGTGGGCAACGGGGATCGCCTCCCGCCAGGCAGGAATGGTAAGGCTGGGTTTTTTCTCATTTTTTTCTTAACGAGCCAGAGCTGCAGTCGGCGGGGCAGCTGTGGGGGGACTGGAGAAGCAGGGGGGTGGGGTTGGGGCTTGTGCAGCGTGGGGCAGTGGTGGGCAGCAGGGATCGCCCCTCGCTTGGCAGCACCCGGTGAGTCGGGGCTTTTTTTTCCCCAAGTGCCGGGAGCTGGGGTGGGCAGAGCAGCCATTGCTGGGCTGGGGGGGCATGGGCCTGGCTGATTTGGAGATTTGGCAGCAGACAGATCTCCAAATCAGATTGGCTGAATCGATTTGGGACAGTGATTCAAATCACTGAATTGAATCACTGTCCCCTGAATTGGCTGAAGCCGAAGTGAATACTAGCCGCTTTGCACAGGCGTAGTGTTCATGTTCTCTTTTCCCAGAGACTAACATCTCACCTTCACTAAGGCAGAATTCAGGTTAAATCAGGGGGTAGCAAGGAGTAGTTGTCTATTCATGCCTCCACTGAAGCACTGAGGTTGTTTCACATAAGTCACCCCACACATGCAAAATATTACTGGCTTTTCACTCTGGTCTGGAGGATTCCTTGAGACATTGTTTTCATTTTGCCCGTGCTAAGCTCTAGAGACCGCTATCACCTGTGTCTGTAGCTTAGCACCATTCACTTAGAGATTCCAGGTCACCTCCATATTCAGGTTCCTGAGCTTCTCAGTTTGGTTGATTTCATTGACTAGTACTTTT